ATCGAAGGACTGATCGAAGTGCTCAAACTGGAAGGAGCATATGCCAAGAAGTTGCCGTGTCCAGCCGACAACGGAAGAGCGTTTCAGGCAAAGAAAGGTGGAATGGATCCGCTGAACGAAGCCGACCACCATACGTACAGGAAAGGAGTTGGGATACTACTGTATCTGGCACCAGAGAGGCCAGACATCATGTATGTCTTGAAAAAGCTTTCAACAAAGCTAGCCTCACCTGTTGAAGCAGATATGGAACTGCTACGCTACGTTGGAAAGTATCTCAAAGGAACGCCAGAAGTAGCACTGATTCATCAAGGAAGTTACCCAGAAAAAAATTTCCTCGAAGTGAAAAGCAGAAGAGATGAAGGAAACGTCGAAAGGGACAATTATAAGGTCCCAGCGCTCATCGAAGTGATAAGCGACAGCGACTGGGCAGCAGACCGAGAGTCAAGGCAAAGCGTTTCATGCGGAGTGATAATGGTGAATGGAAACCTGGTTCATTTCCAAAGCAAGAGGCAAAAGAGTGTAGCATTGTCATCTTGCGAAGCTGAGACAATCGCAGCAACGTCAATCCTAAGCGAAGGTGTATTCCTGAAAGGATTACTGAAGAGAATCTTAGGAGTTGAACCAAGACTGATGCTATACAGCGATTCGTCAAGCTCAAGACAGTTGATTTCAAGAAAAGGCTTAGGCAAGGCACGCCATTTACAAGTGGACCTTTTATGGATCCAAAAGATTCCCAAGCTTATCATAAAGGCGATAGCCGGAAAGGACAATCCCTCAGACTTAGGGACCAAATCCCTGACAAAAGAGAAGATACGAAAGTATATGCTAAGCCTCGGATACAAGAGTGAATTCCTGATGACAAGCGTTCAAGAAGATCAAGAAGCAGAAGTGAGAAGAACCAAGACAAGAAGCATTACAAGGTTTGATGAGAAGATGGTCCCAAGGATAGTTCAAGCCGTTGTAACTGGAGTACTGATATCACTATCTGAAGCAAGAAGTGAAGAAGCTGAACAAGGACCGAACAGTGTATTTGGATTAGCAAGCGCAATTTGCATTCTGTTGTGCATGATTGTTGTTGTGCATCGAAGTGGATTCGCAGCCATTTTGCTCAAGAAGGAAGACAAGGAAGACCTAAGAAGGATCACAAGAGCTATGGCAAGTGATAAAGGTGCAGATGACAACGAAGTGAAGAAGTTGATCAATGATCACAGCAGAAGTATAGAGACGATGGAGTACTTGCGGAAGGTTCTGCATAAGAGCCAAAGCGAAAGGCCAGACTCCGAGACATTGTTCAAAGAAGTTCAAGAGTTGAATCGGCAATACCGCGAAGACATAGAAACAGACGATGAAGCAGAAGAAAAGAAGGAGCAACAAGAAGAAAAGAAGAAGTCGGAAAGTGAAGCAGCATCCGATCCGGAGTCAGATGAGGACTCAGGAGAAAGCGACTCAGAAAAGATCGACAAGAAGGAGCAAGAGAAAGAAGAAGGAAAGAAGTCTGAAAAGATGGAAGAGACGTTAGAGACGTTCAAGCAGACCGCTGAAGAGTTGAAACTCGAAGAAGCAAGAAGGAAGGTAGTTATTCCTCCAGCTGTCCAAGAAGAACTCAAGAAGCATGGGAGGATTATGCAAGAAAGAGTCGAGCAACTTGCGGAAATGAGAGCAGCAGCGAAAGAGAGAAGAGGAGAGTTGAAAATTGAAGCCAGGAAAAGAGCAGAAGAAGCAAAAGCAGAAAAGAAGAAAGAAGAAGAGCAGAAAGAAGAAGAGCAGGAAGAAGAAAAGCATAAGGAAGAAGAGCAGAAGGAAGAAGAAGAGCAGAAGGAAGAAGAGCAGAAAGAAGAAGAGCAGAAGGAGGATGAGCAGAAGGAAGACAAGCCAAAAGAGGAAGATGAGACTGAGAAAAAGCCAGAGGAAGAAAAAGCTGAAAAGCAGACTGCCGATGATGCAGTAATCGAAAGCAGCGATGAAGAAAAGAGAGCTGCGCGACAAGCAATGAGGACAGGATTTGCGATTGAAAGCATGAGCATTTTCGAGACGATCCTCGGAGGAGCAAGCATACAGGGACTGAAAAGCTCAATGCCATCGAGCTCACTGGAGAAGGAGTTCACGAGGTGGCAGGAACAGCTAAGATTTCCTGTTGCACAGTTGCCTGGAGGCTATGGACTCCAGACGCAAGAGTTGATGAAGCGGGTAGAAGATAGCCTGCAAGATTATACAAGCAGCGTTTCAATTATGGAAGAAGATGAAGAGAGAGCCGAAAAGGCATTCAAAGATGCTAAAGCCGAACTGGAGCTATATGAAGAACAGCTCAAGAAAGAGATGAAAGAGAAGCTCGATCAGAAAGCCAAAGAGCTAAGAGATCTTGAAGAAGATGTTGTGTCAGCAAGAAACGACTTAGAGAAGGTCAGCGATTGCAGAGCAGCCCTTCAACAAGTCGGAACAGCTCTAGCTACTGCTGATGAGTTGTTAGGTGTTATGGCAGAAGAGTATCCAAGTTTGAAAGAACTCTACAAGAGACAAGATCCTGATCAAGAGAAAGGACGCGAGTCCTTGGCGAGACTTTTGGCAGAAATCAAGAAGAAGCATAGCAGCCAACCGTCTACGCCAGCATCAAAAGCAAGACCCTTACCGAAGAAGGTACCACTGCAGCTGAAGATCAAGGAACCGCAAGGGATCACAGAAGAGGAAAGAAAAGCAGCTAACACAAAAGAGAAGCAGATCGAGTTGAAGGAAAAGCTGAGACAAAGGTACAAGGAAGCTTCAGATGAAAAGCTGCAAGAGAAGCTGAAGGAAAGAGAAGAGAAGCAGAAAGAGAGAACGGACCGTGGCAAAGAAATGCCAAACGAGCCAGCAGGAAAGCCACCACAGAAGTATGATGTCAATCCTTACTGGTTAAAACAAGGAGGACCGACAACATGCTTTTACTGTAAGGAAGAGGCAGATCACCGTGCAAGTGATTGTCCAAAGATGGCCAGTGCAATACAAATGTATTATCAAGGACCTCTGCCAGACAAGACGAATCAAGAAAGACGCCTGTTTTGTAAGCACTGTTACCTTTATTTCAAGTGCTTAGTGCCGAAGTCGTTCCGACACCCAGGCTGGGGCACGCACACGCCCGATATATGTCGGTATAAGAGCGAAGTTCGAGCATATCTGCGGGAGAACAGATACAAATATGAGAAGGAAATCGCAGATATAGAAGCAGATGAAGCAGCTGAAGCAAGGCGTGGAATAGTTCCAAGAGAAAGCTGGGGTTCAGAGCCAGAACCCAAGAAGCTAAAGAAGAGCGATGAAGGCAAACATGAAGAGAAAGAGAAGTCCAAGAAGGATAAAGCAAAGAAGGCTGATGAAAAGGACAAGAAGACTGAGAAGACCAAGAAAAGGAAGAGTCCAACGGATCAGCCAAGCGTTGAAAAGCGCAAGCGATCTGAAGAAGAGATGTGATTATGAAAAGGTTGCGGTTAAAGCGAAGAGAAAGAAGAGTGAGGGCGTAAGCCCAAGGCAGACAAAAGTGAGGGCATTTTGCCCAAGGCATATGAGAGTGGGAAAAGGCCACTCAAGGAGGTAAAGTTTCACAATGCATGAAAGAAGGGGCAGTAAAGCCTATCCTTTCGTGTGAAAAGGGATAAAGCTATGCTGGAAGTGAGTTCCAAAGAAAAGAGCGGAACTTTGCCGATATCTCTGCAAATGCTTTTTGTTGGGTAACTCCTGCCGCAAAAGAAGGATGTTTGGATCCTGAGCTGAGGATTATGCGTTCATGCGGAGCCAATCTCGCAAAGACATTGGACATTGGATGGCTAGTATTTATTTACTGATTCAAAAAGAAAGCGTGGCATAGAGCCCGGGCACGGGGCGGAAAACGACCTCCGGCGTGGGCGGCCGTCCAGCAGGGCCACGACCCACAGACGGCCCAGGGGTTGCAAGAGCCTGGCTCACTGGCAGTGGCGGGGACCGAACGTCCGTCCTTTCGGCAAGGTTGGTGAGAAATCCCGCAGCATCCGTCATATGGTAGGGCTCCCTGCCTGGCTGCGGTCGCTCTCATTCATGAATTGGTCCGTGTGTGAATGCAGCTGAGAAACGCAGAATTGATGCCATCTTGAGCCAGTTCTGGTTGCTTTTCTCGTCGTTGGCCCGGTCGCTGCAAAGAACTGCCACGATCAACTTAAATTGGGGATGACATGCGGGGAGAAAGACAAAACTGGACTTGCAGTTCAACTTCTAAGAGAACTTCAGTAGCCTGGCCTGCAGCTGCCACTTGAGCCACCGCATACGGCAAATGCAGGATTGGTCTGCCCCAATGCTCGTCCGACATGTTCTGCTTGGTCCTGCAGGCAACACCACGACGGGCGCTCAATGTCCACTTCTACTTCCAACCGGCAATGACAGCCGAGCAGGGCTCCCCTCCCTGAATCCCACCTGAGAACCACATCGGAATCGTGGTGCGGGATCTTCGTTCCATATCCCAATTTGTTCCAGTAGCGGCAGTCCACGTCGGCACGACCAATGCCTCAGTCAGAGCAATGATAATTTAATGCTGCTTTGAACAATGCATGTGTCAGGTCCCGTCACGAAGAACACTTCACATCTTGCTGCGGTCCAAAAAACGCAGAGTGCCAATGCGATCAAATGCGAACACGTGTGGTGCGCCGGGCCCAGCTATTCCACCGAGGTGACTGTAGCAGCAAGCTAGCTGCAGTTTCATTTTCCTTTGCTCAGTTCAAGTGGAGCACGAAATGTAACCGTAGGACCATGAATTCAGTACTACGCAGGTCTTTGGCAAAAACATTAAAGCATTCACAAATAAACTTGATATTAACAAGTAAGTAAGTAAGAACTGATTCAGTGCAAACAGGGAGCCAATCTCGGACAGAATGAACTTCAAACACCTCTCGTTCTGGCTCGTTCGGCCGGCAAGTTTCCGGGCGCAGGAACCTGAACAGAGACAAGAGCGAGGCTCTGATCCTCTCTGCCTAGTTTCCAGACATTGTTGCTAGCCAGCACAATTAAACAGATTTCGGCTGAGACAAAGAGCGAGGCTCTGAACCTCTCAGCCTACTTTCCAATTGCTGGCTAAGGCTGCGCGTGTCAGAATCAATCCACGGATTTCGGCCGAGACAAGAGCGAGGCTCCGAACCTCTCGGCCTACTCTCCAGAACTGGCTCGTCTTGCTGCGGCCAAAAAGACTCCCCCAAGACTTCCTTGAAGGCTGACGGCGTGGGGATGTCGCTGTGCCGCTCGATGAATGTGTTCATTGATGCGAACAGCTGGTCGATGTCCTCGTGACTGTGACCAGACATAAGGCAGCTGAGCTGCCCCCGTGCCAGCCGATGGCATGCGACAAGCAAGCTGATTGCCCTCAGAAGAGTATTATTCTTCACTTCGCGAGTCGTGTTATCAGCTTGAAGGAAGAGCTCAGCTTGACGAAGATCCACGCGGTTGGAAACGCGGTGGAGCATGTGATAGAGGAGCTCCGTCGAGTAGGACGAATCCTTCGCCAGGCGCGGGTGGCTCAATGCCAGGCAGGCGGACTGCCCGTGCAGCAGACATCCAACCAGGTCCATGGTCGGTCGGTGCAAAGAGGAGAAGTCTTTTCCGGCGAAGACTCCTGATCTTGGGCAGGCGAACTTGCTGTGGTCTGCACCGTCCATTATGAGGCTCAATGGATACAGTCCATTGCCTTGCAAGGATCTCAGCCTGGCGAGGCCCCTCGTTTCCCAGTAGCAAGTACGGTCCTTGTACTGAAGTTTCAAGTGCTGCTCGTACTGACGGCATTGGATGTCCCTCGCCACCTCGTCTGCACCACATTTTCGAATGATGAGCTTGTGCCGTAGACACACAGAGCAAAGCGCGTGTCGGCTGACAGGTCGGATGGCCAGCCGGGTGCCAAAGGACTCGGCCCAAACCTTTGACAAAGGATAAACTCCAACATGAGTTGGAGGTGCAGGTGTGCCGTGGTTAGACTATGATTTAAGATGACGTAACTAATGCAAAGTAGTCGTTTAAAGTGGATTGCTTGTCAGTCCACTGCCAAGCTGCTTCGTTGAACATCTTCAGGCTGATCTTGTCTTTGCCTTCTCTGCGGGCGTTGAGCAGAGCCAAGTATGGTGAGAAGGTGCCAGGTGGCAGCATTTTCAATGCTGTCGTGTCCTTGCCAAAATTCATAGACACGGATTTCCGAGGACGCTTGCCTGTCCTTTTTCGAAAACGCAGACCAATTGGCACAGCATCATTGCCATTCTGATTCTGAGACTCAGTCGTCTTGGGAACCGGGCTGGCAGTGTCCCGGGCACGGGTTGCCTCGGGCATGTACTCAGCCACAGTGGCATGCATTTCCGTCAAGAACTCGACCACCGCCTGCTGTTTCTCCGTGGATCCTTGATTCTTCCGGTACTCACGAGTTTGTTTCAAGAAGCGTCCATCCCTGGGTGGAGGGACGCCCGATCTCACAGCTTTCCTTTCTGCATTCGTTCCTTTCCGATAAACAGCAGTCGCCCGAAAGCATCCTGGCATACAGGAGTGTCCAGGATGGACTGGCTGAATGTGGTGCGGTCCTCCGTGGTGTTTCTCTTGCGGCAGGAAGTGATCATATTCACGACCTGCACAACGAGCATTATCACGGACTCGGTCGGACCCGTTCAGGAAGGAAAAGCCTATTGATCAACTGTAGTGTTACTATTCACAGGACAGGGACAAGACACAATAACGTAACGTCGAATGCGGTGCAGCGGCACATTCCAAATCAACCCTGTTGCAAAAAGCTTGCAGCAAGACACACGGAGTCAGAGTCACGGTCCTGCTAGCTGGGGAATGAATATGAAATTAAATTTGAATGGCCTCCTTGTCCATGTCGTGCTTGCTGAGAGCACGTAAGCGCAGCTGCAACTCCACCAAAGTGTCCGCTTGCTCTCGGAACTGCTCCAAGCAGGGAAGTTCGGCCAAACAGAGTATGTATGCAGCAGCCGCGAAGATGTGGGCGGCGGGTGTCCCATGGCCTCAGGCACTTTCAAAGTTTCACCTTGTGTTGTGAGAATGACAGGGTACTGCAGCAACTTGAAATAAACTTACGGTGTGATGTGTGTAACATGGCATGGTTAAGCATGACATACATCATTTATTGTGCAGGCTTTGCGCATCATGAAGGAGGCCTTCGCGGCTGTGGACGGTTGACGGCCAGCCAGAGTTCTGGAGAGTAGCCTGAGAGGTTCGGAGCCTCGCTCTTGTCTCGGCCCAAATCCACGGATTCTGCGCGAAAGCAGGCCGAGAGGATTGGAGCCTCGCTCTTGTCTCGGCCAAAATCCATGGATTCTGGCGCGAAAGTAGGCTGAGTGGTTCAGAGCCTCGCTCTTGTCTCAGCCGAAATCCAAGGAACCAGAATCATTGTCCACGCAAGAACAACAAGTTTGTCTCCATGCTCTGGCTTTGGGCAGCACCGCCATGCCGATGAACACAGAGTACTTCAACAGATGATTGTTACTTGGGTTTTCTTTGGCTCAAGATGATCCTTATTATGTAGGCCCGCCGAGCCTGCATGGCGACTCTTAGCATCCTCCCGCTAGCAAGGCACCGTCCTTTGAGCATGGCTCACAAGCCAGGCCTGCTGGGGAAATCGTCGAGCAAGTTCAACAAGATGACAGGTGCCTGGCGCGAGGTGCCAGCAGCCTCGGTGTACAATAAGATCAATGTCAGGCCAGCTACTACGTCAAGCCATCCACCTCAGCTCCAAAGTGGGAAAGAAGAGGTGGCTTTGCCAGGGGTCAGCGAGAAGCAGATCCCTTTCACAGGGGTCACCCAGAATCAGATCCGGAAGCGCAGCAAAGCCTGCCAAGATCTCCTTCAGCAGACAGAGGTGGAGTGCCTTGACCTAGAGCCGGTGGTCCGTTGCGAGCTCATTGAGCTGGCTGAAAGTTGTTTGCCAGACCCGGCTATGAATGTTCCCAAGGTGGTTTGGGAGGACAATTTCTACTGTGTTAAGGAACGGATCCGAAGGCTCAGGGAGAGCAGGTCTGGAGGGTAGGCTGAGAGGATCGGAGCCAGGGCCTCAACGGAGGACGGTGCGCCCGGACCTCCCCGGCGGGATCCAAAAAGGGAGGCCTAAGTAATGAAGTCCGGATAGTAGGCCGAGAGGTTCGGAGCCTCGCTCTTGTCTTGGCCGAAATCCACGGATTGATTCTGACACGCGCAGCCTGCCCTGCTTGCTAGCCAGAGTGACATGCGATGGAAGCGTGCACGAAAAAAGATATGGAGTTATTATTAAGAGTTCAGTCAAAGAACCTCGCATGGACCTCCTAGTTGCTGGTCCCGTGTGGGCTCAGGTTGTTCTTCTGCGTGCTCGAGAACGTCGGTAATCTTCGTTCCGGCAAGCTCCGGCATGTGATGGAATATGTGACTCATGACAGGGTTTTTGCCTGTGGTTTTTCGGTTCCCATATTATTTATGCGAGGCTAAGCATGAGGAAAAAACGTCGTCAGAGTCAGTCCCTGGCAGGAGTGTGCAAAACGAGACCTTTCGCTGCGCTGGGCAACAGTGACTGGGAAAATGGTGGGTGTCAGTGTATCTGGGTTGCAATTTATTTGAAGTCGTTTTATGTCTAGACTCGGACGCAGTCTGCAGCATGAATGTTCAGGTCTGGCGTGAAAGAGTTTTCCTGCTGTGCTGCAAGCGTGGCAGAGAGCAAGAGTTGTTCCAGGTGCCTGGTGCAGTCGACATTGATTTCTTATTTCTCCTTGCTTAGCAGGTAATGTATGGTAACCGTGATGCAAAATTTCATTGAGTGACTGCCTGTCTCGATCAGTTTTACAACTTCCTCGACTGCGACACCACGCACCAAAGGGCAGCTAAGCCGTGGAACGTCAAAGGAAAAATACCACTGCACCGCTGGATGCAGAAGAAATGCAGCGAAGAAGATCTGTTGCGACTGCGAGCTTGCGGCAACATCGTCATACCACGTTGTGGCGAGCTAGCGGTGAATGCCCTGGGGCACAGCTATGTCCTTTGAGCTCATTGTGGCATGATGCTCCTTTCCCAGCCAGGCCGGGGCTTTACAGATACTCTGCAAAGAAACACTCGACACTGAAGCTGAATGTGCTTTAGATCTTGAAGTAAGAGTGCTACCTAGCTCTGGAAAAATATGAGTGTCAACTTGTGACACAGGAGCTATATTTTGTGACACAGGAGCTATGTTTTGTGACACAGGAGCTATGTTTTGTGACACAGGAGCTATATTTTGTGACACAGGAACCATATTTTATGTGACACAGGGCCAGGTTTTGTGACACAGGAGCTATATTTTGTGACACAGGAACCATATTTTGTGACACAGGGCTAGGTTTTGTGACACAGGAGCTGACTTTGTGACACGGACGGACTCCTCACGTCACAAAATCGCAGGCCAAGCCGGGGTCTGGAGGTCATAGGAGCTATAATTTGTGACACAGGAGATATGTTTTGTGACACAGGAGCTATATTTTGTGACACAGGAGCTATGTTTTGTGACACAGGAGCTATATTTTGTGACACAGGAGCTATATTTTGTGACACAGGAGCTATGTTTTGTGACACAGGAGCTATGTTTTGTGACACGGACGGACTCCTCACGTCACAAAATCGCAGGCCAGGCCGGGGCCAGGGCAGAGGGTCATGGCCAGGGCCAGGGCCAGGAACAATATTTTGTGAGACAGGAGATATGTTTTGTGACACAGGAGCGGCTATGTTGTGTGACACAGGGCTATGTTTTGTGACACAGGAGCTATGTTTTGTGACAGGGACGGACTCCTCCCGTCACAAAATCGCAGGCCGGGGTCTGGAGGTTGCCGGTCGGCCAGGCTCGGCGGGAGCGGTTTGCAAAGCTTGTCTGTGTCTCAATCCGCCTGCTTCGTTTTGATACGTGTCTTGTTTATACGGCGGGGGGTCTGGCATCACGAAAAGCATGCTTCCAGCATGGCCAAACCCAAGAACGGCGCGCTGACCGCCCTGGCCATGCTGGAAGCATGCTTTTCGTGATGCCAGACCCCCCGCCGTATAAACAAGACACGTATCAAAACGAAGCAGGCGGATTGAGACACAGGCAAGCTTTGCAAACCGCTCCCGCCGAGCCGGGCCGACCGGCAACCTCCAGACCCCGGCCTGCGATTTTGTGACGGGAGGAGTCCGTCCGTGTCACAAAACATAGCTCCTATGACCTCCTGACCCCGGCCTGGCGTGCGATATTTTGTGACGTGAGGAGTCCGTCCGTGTCACAAAATGAGCTCCTGTGTCACAAAACATAGCTCTTGTGTCACAAAACATATCTCCTGTGTCACAAAATATAGCTCCTATGACCTCCTGACCCCGGCGTGGCCTGCGATTTTGTGACGTGAGGAGTCCGTCCGTGTCACAAAATTAGCTCCTGTGTCACAAAATATAGCTCCTGTGTCACAAAACATAGCTCCTGTGTCACAAAACATAGCTCCTGTGTCACAAAACATATCTCCTGTGTCACAAAATATAGCTCCTATGACCTCCTGACCCCGGCGTGGCCTGCGATTTTGTGACGTGAGGAGTCCGTCCGTGTCACAAAATAAGCTCCTGTGTCACAAAATATAGCTCCTGTGTCACAAAACATAGCTCCTGTGTCACAAAATATAGCTCCTGTGTCACAAAACATATCTCCTGTGTCACAAATTATAGCTCCTATGACCTCCAGACCCCGGCTTGGCCTGCGATTTTGTGACGTGAGGAGTCCGTCCGTGTCACAAAATTAGCTCCTGTGTCACAAAACCTAGCCCTGTGTCACAAAATACAGCTCCTGTGTCACAAAACATAGCTCCTGTGTCACAAAATAAGCTCCTGTGTCACAAAACATAGCCCTGTGTCACAAAAAAGAGCTCCTGTGTCACAAAAAACTTGTGTCAGAAAATATAGCTCCCTTGTCTAAAATATAGTTCCTGTCTCACAATATATAGTCATAGCTCCTATGTCATAGTATCATAGCTCCTGCATCACCAATCAAATAGTATTAGCTCCAGTGTCACAAAGCTCCCCGCTTTGCAGAGGCTGACTTGTCAAGTGTGCAAGAGGTATGCTACAGCGTGTTTTGCAGTGGTTCCCAATAAACATGACAGGTTCTTCATGACTTTGTCAAGGGTGGAGGCTTGAGGGTGAAGGCGACTGAAAATACAAAATAATTGAGGTGCGGCATGGACATCTAGGGCCATTGCTTTCGAGGGGAAGGGATTAGTCTGAGCCGCAGGCAATGTGTGTCCAGTATTTCCGGTTGTGCCATACAGGGGCCGCCCGCGTCACAAAATACAGCGCCCGGGCTTCGGAGCGAACTCGGCAATGTTGCAAAGTTCCGGCGTTCATTGTCTCTTGGAAACTCAGGGGAATGAAAAATAGAAAATAATTGAGGTGCGGCATGGACATTTAGGACCATTGCTTTCGAGGGGAAGGGATTAGTCTGGATCGCAGGCAATGTGTATCCAGTATTTCCGGTTGTGCCATACAGGGGCCGCCCGCGTCACAAAAACAGCGCGGGGGATTGACACAGGTCCAGGTCTAAGTTAGGCTGAGAGGATCGGAGCCTCGCTTTTGTTTCGGCCGAAATCCAAGG